GCCTCTCTCAAACCATCGTTCTTCTCTATTAAGGATGTGAACATCTTCATCTCTGAAAGAATGACCGCTGGCCTGCAGATGAGACCGCAGAACCTGATGATGTTGATCTTCTGTGCTGGACCATCCTTTTGGCGAGAGGCTGTTTAATTTCCCGGATGTATGACTGACCACAACACTCCTGCCCTGAACAGCATATACAAAGTACAATATTACTCTATGCCAGGGGACCGGATCTTTGGTCCCCTGATCTTTCAGCTTGCCTCAGCAACTCCAAACCACCACCTCCAACATCAGCAGAGAGGACAGGGACACATGGAGGTGGTGTATTATTTTTACAATAGATTATTTTCATTCTATCCTGGTTGTGTGTCCGTCTTTCTTTCTCTCAGCAAACTTTAAACTGAGAAACATTCAGATAACTATCTCCCACTGCAGCGTCAGAGATTTCCCTGATTCATCCAGACTTTGACGGATTTATACTGACGCAGCTGCTCCCAGCCAACATTCTGACAGGGAGCAGGAGAATGAGACGGCAGCAGCAGATAGATAGATGGCACTTCACATCTGCTGGATGGTCAACTGAGTCAAGGGGATCTCCTAAATCTAGCAACATCTTTCAGACCTCAGGGACGACCCCAAAAACCTCCTCCTCTTTTCAGCAAGAACAAATAGGGCAGGCAGGGTGGAGGTTCCAGAGAACATTAGTCACACAGAAAAGTTTGGCTTTGTTTTTTCCCATCGCATAGAAGTAAATGCTAAGTTCTTCCTCCTCGCTTTATTGCCAACTGGCACCGTGCTGCATCCCTCTTTTTATATCCATCGCTTTGCCTTTCCCTCTCTAAGCAAATCCTCTGTTCTCTTTTGAGTTATGGGTCTGTTTGTTATACAATTAGCCTGCTGGGATAGGCCTCATATATAAAGCTGAGGGTGTAGATCAGCAAGTCGTCCACCCTCATCTCTCTATTGGTCCCTGTCCATCTGTGTATGTGCATGTTGGAGTGAACACATTTGTGTCTGTTGCATGTGAGGCTGAATAGCGGGAGAGAGCTGTGCCGTAAAAGTGTCTCCACTCTGTCTGTTGGCCTCATGCACCCCACATTGTCACACACATACACACACACATCTAAAAGCCTTGACTATCGCAACCACCACTTCCAAATATTACATCTCCTCCATGCCACGAGTATGTTGGCGAGAGGTGCGAACAGCTTGGATGTTTGTCACAATAAAGTTCAGAACAAGTTTTTGACCAGCTGGGTAATTATGTCACTGCAGCTCACAGTTCAACTTATAAGTGTCTAACTGATAACGATCTGAAAACAAACCAGTTGTGGTTCAGAAGGTCCAAACTGGAAAAAAGATTCCCAACAGAAAGAAAATCCAGCTCCAGAGCTCACTCATTATCAACTCATGAATGTGTTCTGCAAATGAGGTGTGAGCAACACGTTATTTCTTGACGAGGAACATTTTTGATCGTGCCACATAAAGTTGCCAAGTAACCAGTGAAAAAACCATGAAACTTTATGTCTCAATCACTCAGCTGCAGAAATATCTGTAAACAGAGGTAAACCGATCGGTTAGCTGATTATTTACTATTTTTTGAAAATGATTGACAGTTAGGAGCCTATAAAGCCCATTAACATGCACAGTGCTGTTATACATGTCGTGAAAATCTATACGCTACTTTGATATGTTTGATATGACAATTGTAAGATCAACAGCGTTTGGGAGTTTGGATTTTTGAGATTTCTTCCTACATCCACAAACCTGTTTACAAAATAAGTGTGCAATGTATTTTCTTTGTTTGGTTTAGAAATGGTGATTTTCAAAAATGGCAGCTTTGTACATTAATGCTAATTGAATTTCAACTTTAGTCAATCACACACGAAGGAGCCGAAAACAAAAATGAGCGTCATCTTTTAGCCGTCCTGCTTTCTACAAGGTGGCATGGGTCAATAAAAACCTCATAAAGATTGAGCTCTACTGGTAAACAGATATGTATTAACCTGACAACACACCAGTTGTATCTCTTTCACAATTTTGTCCTGTGCTTATGTTTTTCATTTAAGTGCAGTCATGTGGGTAGAGCTACCATTTCTAACCTGAGCCCAAAGCCCGTCCCGACCTGAATTTGGGCTGGACCATGATAATGTGCTGGATGGGCAGGTCGGGTTGGTGTCAGGCTTTTGATTGCGTCAGCGGATCAGCTGCAATTTAAATATACAGCAACATGGCTTGCCATACATTCACCAGCCACACTTGGCCATTTCACCGCGAGCTGACCGGACTTGAAAGAGGTAAAATACAGTTCAGTTAAGCTTCAGATGGGACTAACGGTATAAGCTACTGCCAGGAAGCGATCCATCGCCCAAATGGACATTCAGCCACTGCACTCAGCGAACGCGTGCGGCCGACGACCCAAGCACGTGAGAGCCAAAAGCAGACATGTCGGAGCAGGGTCTGTGTGTGAATAATGCAGAATGCAGGCAGAAGCAGGGATTTAATGCACTTTGATGACCATAAAAGGACAAACACCCCCCACAGCTCCGACCTTCTGCCCCTTTTATTCAGCCGCACACGTCCCCCAACTGTTATTAACTATATAAGCAGTGAAAGCTTAATTAAAAACGTCTAGGGTTTTTTCGGGTTCTGACCTGTAATTACTGTTAAATCATTGGGTCAGGTGGGGTTCAGACATGATGGCTATGGGCTGGGGCCGGGTCAGATCAGATTTTTTGGGCCCAAATGCAACTCTACATGTGGGATAGTATGCATATACCTGTATATTGATTCTTCTTTTTTCTTCTTGCTCCCTTCTTCAGGGGTTGCCACAGCAAACTAACTTGCACAAAGACTTGGCGATTGTTTTTACGCTGGACACCCTTCCTGATGCAACCACAGACCACCGAGCTACTACAGCCCTCTGTGTGGAGCAGAGAGCTGCCTTCTAGGACGACTGGGGGATTAGATGGTGGACGTTAGGGGCCTGCTCAAGGGCCCAGAGTGGGGCAAACGAGGGTGGAGGCAGGTGTAGGAATTTTATCTTTCCCACCCACATATTGATGTTGTCGGTCTGGGGAGTTGAACTGGCAACCTTCCGATCACAGACCCACCTATAGCCTCTGTGCCACCACTTCCCCCAAAGCCATGTTGGACAGTATCATTTTTTATATTTACCACAAAAAATCACGCCTTTTCTTGTAAAAACAAAAAAGGTTCAATCGTGTCATCTGGACCAGTTTCTTTAAGTGAGAAATGTTTCATACCTCAGCCAGAGGACTTCCTCAGTCTACGGCCTGCCAACCAGATCTGCTCCATAAGTGGCCTTCATTGTTGTGTATCAAGCCAACCTCTTGTTAGAATTTACCTGGGTTGGCTATCTGGTTGGAAGGCCATAGACTGAGGGAGTCCTCTGGATGGGGGCCAAAACATTTCTCACTTAAAAAAAAACCTGGTCCATATGACATAATTTAACCTTTTTGTTGTTGTCTACCTGGATGATTGAGCTTACAACACTTTTTCTGAACCATTTTGGCCTTGGTTGTCCTCATTTCTGTGAGTAGCAAGTTGGCCATCTGGCCTAAAACATTTGGTTGTTGTACATGATGATTGATTGTTTTGCATGTGTTAACAGCTACTTTTGAGATTCTAACAGGAGGTTGGTTTGAGACACAGCAGTGAAGGCTACCGACAGATCTGGTTGGCAGGCCGTAGACTGAGGAAGTCCTCTAGATGGGGGACAAAACGTTTTTCACTTAAATAAACCTGTCCAGATGACAAACCTGAATGACGAGCTTACAACCCTTTTCTCGTAAAGTTAAGTTAATGCGCAAAAATCACGTTTTTATTTACAAAGTTGTTCCTTATCTTTGAAAGAGCTGGTTTTAATTTAATAATGAGAAGTGCTATGTGTTGTCATCATTGCATGTTCCCATACAATGGCGGAATTAGTTTTCTGCATTAAACCCATCGCACCTGAGATACATCCAGGTGGAGCAGTGGGCAGCTATGTAAGTGTCCGGGAAGCAATTAGGGATTAGGTGTCCTGCTCAGAGACACCACAGTGGGAATGTTGGGGGATCAAACCCGGGATTTTCGGGTCCCGAGTCGGCATAAACTACTTTTGTTGAAATACAATGTTCCACTTCATCATTATTAGCAGCAGCTGCAGCTCATTTACAGCAGGATTTCTATATGTATTATTTGAAATATATTAAAACTGAGTAATGTTTTGGGAATAATAAAATAGATTTTAGATCATTGCACACAGCAAATCACTGTATTTCCCAGCCTGTGAGCCTCACAGTCACTGATTGTTATTGATGGCGATATGGGAGTTTCAAGTGCTGACATAAAGAACCCACAATGACTGAGTCACAATGTCAAGAAGTTATCAATGAGTTTTTGTTAAAACAAAAGAAACTTTCTGTGCACTTCAGCATCTACTTACCTTTACATGCGCCTCCCTTCTCTTCATGTCCCGGTTTGCAGAAACATCCACCAATAGGAACCAACCACTCTCCATCAGCACCGCAGTACATTTTAGGCTCCTCTCTTTCTTCTGACTGGTTGACACATGAACCTCTCACTTCAACTAATGAGGACGTATCCGCGCCAGTGACCGTGTCGGGAAAAGTTGCCAAGTTCCGTACGGTGAGCGGGCAAGTTTTGTAGAAAACTCGAACAGAAACCAAAGCGATGCAGGCGCCAACATCCTGAAAGGCCAAGTAGAAGCCCTTCCGCGTTGTGACTCGAACATCTCGCACCTCTGTGTTCAGTTTCATGATGCGGTCTCCGACATCCACCTGAGTGGGAAGAGAACTGGGTTACTTTAATTGTACTGTGCAGGAAAATGTGTCTGTTCTTATTAATCCAATTTGTACGTTTGTGGGAGTTTCATTTGAGCCATGACTGATGTTCCCATTTCCAGCACTTTGCTCTCGTTCAGATTAACTCTGTATTGATTTCAAAGGTAAAAAAAGCTTCGATGCTCACAACACTTAAATCACTTGACACTAGCAACGGCTAAGCAAAAGCACCCTGCCAATAGTCCTAGGACAGCAAAACAGACATTCAAGATAAAAGTGCTTGTAAACCAAGTCAGAAAATTAGCGGTAAGTGCCAAAAGGTTTTATTTTCCACATGGCAGCAAATTAAAATGAGAGGACGTGGGAGGATAAAGAACTGAAAGCCTGACTCAGATGTTTAACGTTACCTGGGTGAAACTCTCGTCTGCTGCCACCGTGTCCACCTTATTGAAGCTGCTCTCTTTGATGTAGCTCTCTCTGTCTTCGTTTGACTCGTGATAGTACAGATTGAATGTTTCCTACAAGACACAGATTGCGTTGGAAAAAAGAGGAGCCGAGGCATCAGTTCATGAGCAGCAGCGCTCATCTGTTGTCTTAATAAGACACCAAGTCAGTCAGAGTCAGAACTGAGTAATCAGCAGGAGTCATACATTTAAAAGGTTCTCGAACAAAAGTCTGCAGATTAACCAATGATGAATGTTGGGAAAAGATTCAACCGTTATCAAAAATCGTCATTGTTGGTTATGTTCTGTGTACCTTGCAGGTGCCGGTGACGCCCGGCAGGCTGTTGCAGTCTCTCAAAGTAAACTTGACTTCAACGTAAACCCGCTGAGCACCGGACCGAGGGATCCAGTCTGTCCGCAGCCAGTTGTTCTGACTGGGTTCGAGGACGTTACACACCTGGTAGGTCCTGATGGGGATGTTCTTCTCATCCATGATGCTCACCTCCTCCCACTGCGAACACATATATGTCACCACACCAGTACAGGGAACATCTTACGTGTACAATATGTCACAAATGAATTCATGCTCATTCCCTTTTAGGCAAACAACATGAAAGTCATCTTCAAAGTAACCGTTATTCATAACCCATGGTTATGGGTTCATTCAGACCTGCTGAAGTGGGGTTTTAACTAACTAACTAAGTTAATTTACTAAAAGATAGTGCTACAAAAATGAAAGGCAAATGGTGATGAATTGTGTTAGTGTCAAAGTGATACATTTGAAATGTCAGAAAATGTTAGCATTTTGGCCAACGGTGTTGTTTTAAAAGTGCTTCACAAATAAAGTTGTATTGTATTGAATGTGTGTATTTTTACAGAAACACCTGCATACCTGTTGATGTCCTAATTGTTGTTCGCTGACAGCCCACTGTGGGACGACGCTGTGTGTGTATCTTTTTTGTACTATTAAGTGCTTCTTGTATTCTTAATTTAGCATATTTGTGAGTGGATATCTTAGATCTTATTGCTGTTTTACTTTTACAATTTATACTTTTGTTGGATGTAACTGGGACCCTGTGTACACAATTTCATTCTACCACATTTATGGTGCGAACGACAAATACAGAAACTTTGACTTTGAACTTCACACAGCACTGTCCACCTGCTATTGAATCACCCAAGGTAGAATAAAGTGACAGGTATGAACAGGACCTATCTCAATGGGTTATCTAGAACAGATAAGATAATAATTCCTACCCTTTCCACAGAACACTTCTGTTATTAAAGCTTCTTCTTAATCATGAAAGTAAAATTTAAAGTTAGTTATCATGTAACAGCCTTGTTGACCTTTTATATAAAAGGTTAGGAAAACTCAAGAGTCAGATAAGATCCAAACACTTGAAAACACCAAGAGAAGCAGGATCCCTGCTGGGCAGCTGCAGGGAATTTGGTCATTTTTTACAAAAAAATAAAATCATCAAGAAAGCAACCCCTGTCTGTGCAATGAAGCTGTGTTAGATTGTTTTTCCACTTTGTGCTCAGATGAAGTGAAACTGGCCACCTGAGACTCTCTGTCCTCACAGATGATGTAAACCAGGTTCAGATGCTGGTGTGCTTCCTCTAACTCACTGCTGTCACAGGACAACATCCACGGTGCATCAATATTCTGCAGTGGGCAGTAGTTCCTGTTTGTTGGGAGTTCAAGGCTTCTGCAGGGGCATTTAGGCCCAACCTCCGCTGCACCATCCATCTCAATAGGGCTGATTATTTGCCTTGTATTGTGACCCTTCAAATGACCGCAGAGCCTCTCAGCTCCAAATTGGCTTTTTATTGCCACTGAATAATAATCTGCTCTCTCCTTACGACTGAGAGCTGTATACACACTAAATCCAGCGTGTCCAGAGAGAGAAGAAAGAGTTAGGCCAGGAGTGGCAGACTGAGTGAGTGGGACGGTGGTGGGGGGGGGGGGGGGGGTGGTGATTTGCCTGTATCCCAGGCCTGATCGATATTTTGTCAGCGGTCCATGCAGGCCTATTGCCGACAAGCTGATAAATTAACAGTGATGTAAATTTTTACCAGACCTGCAGGAAGAGTCTGCACTGCAGTAAACATTAAAAAGATTTTAACCTTCTAAAGTCGTGATTTCAGCTTTAATGTAAATTAACGGTAATTATTGAGATATTATCAGAGTGTTCTTGTCCAGTGTGTGTTGTTGTGCAGTGTGTGGAAGAAGACATGGAGTATGATGCCTCCTTTAAAACTTCCTTTGGAAACAACAATCACAGCTGTCAAGGGGAAGAAAGCTTTGCATTTGACCATACAGAAATTGAGTTTTTTTTTTTTTTGTCTGTGTGTGTGTGTGTGTGTGTGTGTGGGGGGGGGGGTGATCTAAAGCTCAGTACGTGAAGACCAGGACCCCGTCAATCAAGCTGCATGTGATAGAACGAGAGCTTGGCAAAAGTCAAGTTCACCGAGAACTCCTAAACCAACAAAGTGGTTCAGGAAGAGAAAGATGGCGGATGTGTTGCTGCCTCATCACACTGACCAAAAAAAAAAAAGTATAAAATAAGCTGGATGTAATAAAATATAAAACAAATATCTCCAGGATTTATTCTGGCAAGTGTGCGGTAGTACAAATCCCTAAAAAATGACACCCACCATCAAGCTGGTTTGTGCTTTTGCTTGTGCCAAACGCAACGCCAGCAATCTCATATTAGCACTTAGGCTTGGAGAACAACAGCACATTGCAAAAGCTGTGGGAAGAGAACCAAGCGTGTGTGTGATGTGTGTGTTTGTGTGCATGAGGCAGAGATTGTGTTTTGAAAGGAGAGAGCAGGTTGTAAACAGTGTATCTGTATTTTTTTTAATAAATAAAAAATAAAGCTCCCACTCACCCCTCCCTCTGAGGGACTGGCTGCCCATTTCAGCTCTCCTGGCACTGTCCTGGTATCCAGCAGGGTCACTAAAATCACACATATTCACAAATACAAGAGGTTTTAGGAACAAACAGTCAAACTCGGCTAATAAAAAAAAAAGTTCATGGAAGACCTTCCATTTGGAAGAATAACTGCTTTACTTTGCAACTTTTCTTTTACAAGATATTAAACACAAATACGTTGCTTATAATTAATAACTTTTGTTATTGCACAAAGCAAGTACATCTTTTTTTTTTAACGTTTTCAACTGAAGCTTGGAAGAATGCGCAGTATTTACAACACAAAGGAACTTAGACAGCGCACACCAGAGTGTTGAACTCCACCAGAAGCCAGAAATATCAGAACATGTTCATAAATCTCACTTCTTCCCCTCGTAATTGTCGCTCCTCACCATCCTCGGATGCGCCCCGGAGCGCGCGCAGCTGACTGGAACCTGAGACACCCCCCCCCCATCCCCCCCCCCATCCTAACTTCCTTACCTTCATTGGGGGGATAGATCCTTGTCCTCGCGCTTGAAACGAGCGATATGATCCAGACGGACGTAGAAAAGGTTCGCCACCAGCTCGCAGCCATGTGTGCCGTGCGGACGCGTGCGACTTCTCCGTTGGCTCTGAACGCAGGCTGAAGCGCCTCCATCCCGGTGGGAAAAGTGCGTGCGTGTGCGTGAATGCTTGTGTGTGTGTGTGTGTGTGAGAGAGAGAGAGAGAGTGAAACCAGGAGAGACTGGGGCGGTCTCCACTCAGAAGCTTCCCTTAATGGTAAATGACATGGAGCTAACGACGCACAGCACTGTGGCTCCTCTCAGTCCTCATCTTCATCTTCATCCTCACTATTTTTATTGTTATAATTGATCTAACAGAACTTTGGTGATTGAATGACACAAAAAATTTGGAAAGTTACGCGACTTTAACCTTCAAAGATATAAAGTGCAAATATAAAAAGGAACAAGAAATTCTGATAGCTGCAGCTGACTCCAGATTTAATCCACAGTGAACATTGTTGCGCATCAGAAGTGGCATTTCGGTGATGATAACCTAAAGGGGAGGGGGGGGGGGGGTTTCATAAACAACCACGCTTTACAAAAGAAAGAGGGGGAGGAAGTCGCATAATTTCAAAAACATGAATATGTCATGGGCTGAGTTTGGTTCTTTGTCCTGAGGATGAGTCCACAGTGAAGAGTGTGACTGCAGCGCCACCTGTTGATGGGTGGATGGTGTTGGGGGTGGGGGGGAGGGAGAGTTTCCAGGCTGTTAGGTGTTTGGTGCTAATGATGAGAGTAAGGAGCTTCAGACAGTCTCCAACCATCTGTCAGCTGCACTTGCTAATGTTTTAAAACCCATATGGGCATAATTAAAAAAGACGAGCCGACTCATTTTTTAATAAACAAAAAGGGGTAAACAAACAGTTGCAGAGCAAATGGCCTTGTCTGGAGGCCTGCGGGGACGAACAAACAACGTGTCCATGATCTGACACTCTGCCCCCATAAGGGTTCTGGATAACCGTTACGCTTAATGGTGGCAGAGCCTAAAATGTGATTTAATGCTTCCATGAGAGGTAGGTATCTTTGTGTTTGTCTGTTATCAAACTATTTCTTGAACAAATAAACATAATTTAATAAAACTCTTAGATAGCGATCATTGAATGTAGGCCTACATCTACAACTGCTTAAATTCTGAATCAACTCAAAAATGACTGCCAGAGACAAGCAACCACAAAACAGCAAATATGGATATAACTCTGTCATTTTTACAGCTATTAAGCAAACTTTGATGTGGTAGTAGCTGAGGGTCCTCATCGACATAAACTCTTTGAATAAAAAGTTGTCATGCAAGACAAGCGAATAAGTTTCAAGATGGCGATTGCAGCTTACAGAACTTATATAGAAACATCTTACCTAAAAATCATGCAGAAAAACTGGTTCATGCATTTGTCACGTCTAGACTGGACTATTGCAATGGTTTATCATCTGGATGTCCAAATACGTCTTTAAAACGTCTTCAGTTGATCTAAAATGCTGCTGCCAGAGTCTTAACTGGAGTTAGTAGGAGAGATCATATTTCTCCAGTTTTAGCTTCTCTCCACTGGCTCCCTGTCAAGTTCAGAATAGAATTCAAAATCTTACTTCTAACCTACAAAGCTCTCAACAACCTGGCTCCATCTTATATTACAGATCTTATTGTTCCATATTTTCCTAACAGACCACTTCGCTCTCAGATTGCAGGTTTACTTGTGGTTCCTAGAATTTACAAAAACAGAATGGGAGGCAGATCCTTCAGTTATCAGGCTCCTCTGTTGTGGAACCAACTTCCAATCTCTGTACGTGAGGCTGAAACCTTATCCAGTTTTAAAACTAGGCTTAAGACTTTCCTTTTTGCTAAATCCTATAGTTAGGGTCGGCTTGGGTTTCCTGAGCTGTCCCTTAGTTATGCTGCTATAGGCTTAGACTGCTGGAGGACAAACTGACCACAATTTTCACTCTACTACTGTCTTTACTTACAGACCTGGACCTACCATTCTATGTTCGTCTGTCTCTCCTTCCTGTCCTCTCAACCAGCCGGTCAAAGCAGATGGCCACTTGTCCTGAGCCTGGTTCTGCTGGAGGTTTCTTCCTGTTAAAAAGGGAGTTTTTCCTTTCCACTGTTGCCACTGTGCTTGCTCAGGATGGGAGACTGCAACGAAGCCAAGATTCACCTTGTAGGCTGGATTCTTTACATAGAGAACTTTACTAATTGGCTTTTATGTATGTGAATGTTCCTGTAAAGTGCCCTGAGACAACTTTGTTGTGATTTGGCACTATATAAATAAACTGAATTGAATTGAATTATATAAACATTAGGAGCAAAGTGTGACCCCCCCCCCCCCCCCACCCCTCTCCGCATGTGCACTCTCTCTCTCAACCCCCCACACACAAAAGATTAAAGGAAACTTGTGAGTAAAAAGTGAAAGAGAAAAATAAAAGCACAAAAATGGCTACAACTCAATTGTTTTATAGATGTTCAGCTAAAATTGGGTGTGGTAGTAGCTGAGAGTCATCCACGACACATACTTGGAGGTCAAACAGATGGCACAGAGTCTTTGTTTTAAACTTTGGAATATAATTGCTAAACTTTTCATGTTAAAAACTTTTCTTAGCGTCCTATTTTTTTTATCCATTTCGACAAGTGAACCACCCATTTCCAGCACCAAATTGTGTCAGTTTGACTAGTTTCATGGAGAGTGTTGTGAACAACCAAGTGCATATGTGGGTGCATGTGCGAGTGTTCGTGCACTAGCATTTGCAAGTACGTCTTTGTGCACAACTCCATCTCCCTCGGTCTCCATCTTGCTTTTGTGTTTTCACAGTTGCTACGCCGAAACCATCTCAGCTCCCAGTAAGGCATCATAATGAACACAGGAAGAGCATCTGGCACTTTGAGAGGGCGGGAAAAAAAAGCGATCTCCCTGCTTCAACACCCCCCCACCACCACCACCGCGCCACCATTCACCATAAAACTGTTTTCACGTTTCATTCTCCCTCTACGCCACGATCGACTGCGCAATCACAAAGACCCAATTAGCCAAGAGAGAAACTCGATTTCGCTTTGGGGACCAACGACCCAATGGCATCATTCGGTGTCCGGCGAGGGCCTATGGGGGGTCGACAGCGCAGGTGGGTGGGACATGGCTTTTAGTGTGAAGGTGACAGTGACTTGGATGGAGAACACTTTGTTGTCTCTGGTCATTTGTGTCACCGAAGTTTTGATTGATGATGGCCCATGTTTTTCCCACTCTCCCCAGAGATTCCCAGCTCTCCAAAGAAGATGGGGGTGGTTTCCACAATGATCCCACCACCTTGAAACCCTTAAGTTTGGCCCTCATCCCTGCACCACACAAACACACATCTTATGCAGACGACTTTTTGCTTCTATTCAGGGCCCCACATGGTTGCTGCCCACACATCTGTATTGAACGGCACCAAATATAGGTTTGTTACTATACTTGCACATGCAGTCTTACATTTACATACGTTTAAAATCTCCTGGTGTCTGAAAGTGGAGAAGAAAGCCAAAAGGCCCGGAAGAATCAAACCGAAGTGTAGACAAAGTAGCCAAGTGTAAATTTGCGTGTGTAAAGAGAAAAGCCCGAGAGACCGTAGGTGTGTGGGCGGCTGAGAGAGATGAACAATAGAAGCATGGAAAAGAGATGAGGAGCAGCGTGTTGCCAATGAGAGTCTGATCGGGTGGGTGGGTGGTGGCGGTGTGGAGTGGGGTATAGAGTGTTGAAAGAGGATCTTCCCTCAAAGGCTCCCAAAGATATTCCTGGAACGAGCTAGGCTTTCATTTGGCTTGCAGTCCCACACCGAAGATTGCTTTGGGAGCTAAAACCATTTAAAATTCACAGGACCACGCTGATATTATCTCAGAAACCTGACAGATAACAGACTTTCTGAATCTGCATGGCGCACGCCTGTGTGGCTGAACTCCTCTGGTCGACAAAGCGTCATTAGCATGTCAGAGGCGTTCCGTTGCTACCCAGTTTTCTCCGTAACAGCTGCTATAGTCTGGTAAATTACTCAGCTTGCGTGTGAGTGCACGTGCGCCTGACTTCTGAGTGCTCAGAATAAGAAAAGGAAGAGATAGACGAAGGTTTACATCACAGTGCACCAACCCTTCAAATAAAGTTGTGCGTATGTTAAGCGTTTGTGGAAATCTCCGTTAACATCTTGCTTGGGAGCATGTACAGTAGAAGCGTGTGTGTTGACAGAGTGTTTGTGTGGCGTGTTTGCATGTGATTGCATAAACATGGTGTCAGAGCGATGAGATGTTCCTTCCATCCATCTGTTCTGCTGGCATTTACATCTCAGGAGCACAACAATGGAGGGGAGATAGGCAGAGCGAGATAAAGAGAGCTGGGAAGAGATGTTATGATGGTGTTGGTTTGTGTCTGTCAGTCATCAGAGGAAAAACACACCCAGGTTGCCTTTTGCAGCTCAGACTCTGTTCTGATGCGATCTTTTAACACAACCACATTTTCCTTTTTTTTGTGCCTATAAGAGGCCACAGGAGAGTCAAGCTGCAGTGTATCTTCCTGTGGATGTGGTTTTGTGTGTTACCGAGTGTGTATGTGTGCACCTTTGTGAGCACAGGAGTGTATGTGCAAGAGAAATCATTGTTCCATTGCTTCTTATCTCCAGTCTCGGTGGAGAGTCTGTGCTGTTCCTCCCTCCCCCTCAGCGATGTGACCCGTCTGTGATACAGCACAACCTTCCGTCTCCACAGATAACACAGCACCCTAAAAATACTCCACTTTCTAACACACTTCCGCTTTGTTCTCCTCACCTCTTCTGCCTCGGCGTATACTCCGAAATCTCCCCGCTAGCCATGAGTTGGCGCTGCCAGACTAAAACTCCTCTGGGTGCTTTCTAATGTCACAAAGGTCTTTTAACTCCACATCTTCCCCTCTTTTACTCATCTGCTATGCACTCCTGTCAAAGGTTGCCAATACTGTGTCAGTTTGATGGCAAAAAGCAAAGGAAAGATGGTTACATCGCAAGTTTTCTTATGATTTCTCCACAATAATGCCTCATCGCCCCCCACACACACCCGCAGCTACTTCGGTAACCCACAGTCTGGACACACAGGGCAGATGGCATGTAGGAGGAAACAGTGAAGACAGAATCTGCAGGCCTCACATAATTAA